TGTATCAAACTGATTATCAAAACTGGGAAAGCGAGCGTTCGAAGAACAAAGAAACAATCAAAAATCTTCAAAACGAAGTCATTTTATTAAAAGCGGAATCTGCTCAATTGGAGATAGAAAAGTTAACTATCGAGCTAAACAAGAAAGACATATTATATCAAATTCTTAATCGGAACTTGGAAAACGAGCGTTCGAAGAGCAAAGAAACAATAGAAAATCTTCAAAACGAAGTCATTTCTTTAAAAGCGGAATCGACTCAATTGGAATCTGAGATAGAAAAGTTCAATGAAGAGTATAAAAAGTTAACTATCGAAATAAACAATAAAGACACATTCTATCAAATTCTTAATCGGGAAAGCGAGCGTTTGAAGAACAAAGAAACAATTGAAAATCTTCAAAATGAAGTCATTTCTTTAAAAGCGGAATCGGCTAAATTGGAATCTGAGATAGAAAAGTTCAATCAAAAGTATAAAAAGTTAACTATCGAAATAAACAAGAAAGACACGTTGTATCAAAACTGGGAAAGCGAGCGTTTGAAGAACAAAGAAACAATTGAAAATCTTCAAAGTGAAGTCGTTTTTTTAAAAGCAGAATCAGCTCAATTTCAACCTGCTCTTGGGGGCGCTAAAAATGTTCGTTGGGATGAAGATGTTAATAATTCTGTCAATTTCAATAAAGATATCAAGGAACTTCAAAATTCTTTATGTGAATTTACCCAACTCAAAGTCAAGGCATATATCGTAAAAGAAAGTGGTGTAAAGCAACTCTTTAACAAATATAATTCAAAAGCGAATATTGAACATAAACCATCGATAAGTGCCGCTTTGCAACGATTGACTATTGAAACTATCCTTAACGACTATGCTAAATATATAAATACACGTAGCTCAACAAAATCTAATGCAGAAGATAATTCATTGGAACGTCAACTCTTAATCTATAATGAAACAATTACAAAAATCATTGAAAATTTTGCTGAAACTCGTGCTAAAAATGATGAAATGGTTAGAATAACTGGAATCAAAATTCGCCAAGCAGTTTACGCGATGTTAGGAAATAGTGGTTTCGGGAAAAAAAACCACCGATTTTTCGCCGCGGCAAAATATAATCTCCTCAATACATTGACGTATTGTCGAACAATCGTACCTTATGAGAAACGTAAAGAACAAGAAGAACGCGCGGGAGATATTATACTTAGTGTTACTCGTATTTTCATGTTTCGTCTTTTGGCCCATGAACCGATTGCTACTATTCGGTGGTTCGAAAATGGAGATCAATTAAATGAAAACTTGATGGAATGGGTTTCGAACGGTGAAGATGTTTCGGACATGGTTGTCGATATCTGTGCATTTCCAGCAATCGGTGTCAACCTTGAGGATCCCGAAAAACGGCAAATATATATAAAAGCCAAGGTAGTAATTTGCAATAAATTAGATCTCATTGGACAATTGTTGTACACGTATTCCAAAATGGTGAAAAAATCTATATTCTAAGTTCTGGTTGGTATTTATTTATTATTTTTGTTTTTTAGTTATACATTAGAAGATTTATTGTAATTTTGTGTTCGTGTTTAGGAATTTCCATTATACAATAAACTGGAATAAAAACATAGATTACGTATTCTGATTGCAGAAACTGTTTTTCTTCTGACTTTGTTCTTTTTTGGCATAAAAGTGGCATAAAAGTAACACAAATGTTAAAACTCTGAACAATTTATTATTAAAAACTCCTTTGAGAAAGTATAATATTGTTTTTCAATCGAACTTCTAGTAGTCTTTTTGAAAATTACGAATTCGAGCAGTGATATACGAGTAGTAGTAGGAATTGGTATGTTGTTGAATATCAAAGAAACGATATCAATATACTTCTAACTAAGACAATTAATGATATTTGGTGTGTACTGACTATACGCATTATATATTGATATATTTGACATTTTATATTGATTGAATTTTGAAAAAGGCTCGAAACGCAAGGCGAATTCAAAACAAATACGTTTTTCGATATGATGATGACAAATTCAATGGAGCTTACCTGTGTTAGCCGAAAGGATTTCCAGAAAAAGTAAAAATTCAAAATCTGAAGTTATTATATGTTAAATCTAATTAAAATTTTATAAAAATAAAGCTTATGAAGACCAAAATATATGACCGGTGGCCAGGATTAATTTACTTTAAACATGCTCGAAGTTTTCTCATTGTGCCTGTTGAATACGATGAGAAAGTTCGCGCCATCATACGACAATGTGCCTTGCTGAACTCATACTTGCAGTTGAATCAGAAAACCTGGAATTTACTACCGAACGTATGTATACAAAAATACGAATAACAAAAATCCCAATATTAAAATTGACTTTTTATTTTTATTCAGCAGAAGCTGATGCTATGTATTGTCTTGAAACATTAAGTGAACGTCCTTTGAAGGAGGTGATTGTGGCGGCGGCACAGTCGATTTGACAGTTCGCACTCTTCTTCCTAATTTGAAATTAAGCGAAATGACTGAGAGCACTGGTAATTTTTGCGGATCTACATATATTGATAAAGAATTTAAAAAATTTCTTGCTCGTAAAATTGGACTCTCTGCTTTTCGATTGTTTGAGGAGAAACATTATCCTCAACTCCAATATTTAATTTAATATTCTGCACACAAATAAAGCTTCCATTCGATGGGAATTTAAATACATGGAGGGATAAAGAAATTGATATTAAAGTTTGTCCCGTTCTTTTGCAATATGTTAAAGGAGAGGAAAGAGATATATTAGAATCAACGGAATGGATGACTTGCAACTGTCAAATCATTCTTTGATAAAGTTATCGAGAAAATTATTAATAAAGAATATTTCAGCACTATTTTTAGTTGATGGTTTTTGGAATCTAAATATTTGTTACATAGAATTCGAAATGAGTTTAGTAATCAAATTCCTTATATTTCTGTATCTTCTCATCCAATTGCCAGCGTTGTGAAAGAAACTGTCCTTTATGATGAGTTTGACTAAAATGCAAGTTAATAGGAATTTTATATTCATTCTTATCGCTATTTTATGCAGGTCTTAAAATGGATACAATTCAAACTCGTGTTCTCAAAATACTTATGGAATTAGAATGTTACGTGACTGGACCCCTGCTGATCCGGTCTCGAAATTCGTAATGATAGATTCGGAAAAACATGTTCGTCAATTTTGAATGATTAGTTAAAAAGGGTACTCAAAGTTACAGTCGACCAAGAATTCAAAAAATAGCTTATCCGGCGTATAAAGATCAGTCTGAATGTAATTTCTTTGTCTACAAAACTAAGGTTGATGATAGCAAATACTGTGATGAATCAGGAATGGAACTTTTCGGAAAGCTTAATTGGTGAGCGCCATGATATTAACTTTAAAAATTTCTTTCTTATTAAGGAACTACCTGATGTTCATCTTGGTTTTAGTCGTTCAATGGAATTCACTTTAACTTTTGGTCAATGGAAACACGTGCTTTTGCGAAAGCTCTTAAGTCGGAAACGACGGCTCGTGCGAAATTTAAATTAAAGTAATAATTATACGTATACGTATAATATATTTTATATGGAAGAAAATTCATATTTATTATATTAAAGATATGACTTGATACTTGCGATATAATCAAAAGATAAGCGACGTGTAATACTGAAAAGAAACCATAGTGTAAATCACTAACGACTTTTGAAAAAGAATAACTGACCGAATTTGAAGTAAACTATTCCAGAAGTTCAGGTTGTTCAGAAACAATCATTTCGTAATGTGGCTGAAAATTGAACCATCCTATAAAATATATAGATTATAACTTAAGCAAATGTTTACTAATGCTAATGAAAAAGTAAATTACCGGCGAATGGCGTCCCAAGAAATCATGCGTTATTTTCGCATACATTTCGTTAATTTTAATAGCTTTACACCTTTAACACAAGCGCGCTCCAATGCGATAAATCACCATGCGGCTACCGAATGTCCAACAATCATCTACCCATGATTTTGAAGAATAAGAGCTTTACGGGGTCCAAGAGCTTGTGCTATACGAGAGCCCTCGTCCTTTTCAAGTACCACGCCACTAAAATCATCAAATACTGTGTGATCATTAAAAAAACACAAGAGTCTTGAATAATAGGATCGAGTGGAAGAAAAAGCGCGTCCTTATACAGTTTGACTATGATAAAGAATAGTTATTTTAAATTAGTACATAGAGTATTAATTATAGGTTATGTTCACACCAATGGCAGACAGAAACGACTTCAGATCTAGCTTCGTACATTTCTGCTGCGCCGATACGGCAGCGCGATTGATTAAGCTTTTTTTGCCCTTATTTTGCGAAAGTAGTTCACCATCATGAGAACTAATACTAAGTCGGAGTTTTTTAATTTGCGAAAAATGTATGGCCAATGTATTTAACCTTTACATATACTGGACCATTGTGAGTCCGGAGCGATAAATTTTTTAATTGGTAAAACCAGTCACGTAGCGTGACAACCGGAAACCCCACGGTGACAATCATTAATTCTTATTAACAATTATCCATTGATTTACAAAAATAATACATGTATTTAATACCAGAACGACCGGGAAATTCCGGATCTCGACATGAAATATGACCAAGAAATATGAGGTATGCAGTTCTTTATTTAACGCATAATAAATAATAAAAATAATACACCGTATTTTGCAAAAAGAAGAAATGCTGCGGCCATGTGTCGTTTTCTATGTTGCTGTTTTCTTCAAATGAATTAAATTTCGGCATCTCAAGTTAACAATTCATGCTAATTGTTTCTTCGAGACTAATTGTTTACGTCTGCATTACGTGTACATGTATTATGCATCGTCAGGGTGTGATTGTAAAATCAGATTAAAAAATAATACCGATACTCAATTTGAATTAACCATTTCCAATCCTAGATTTGCGTTGTCGTAATTTTAACTTATTAAATTAGGATTAAAATTAAAGTCAAGAATGTACAAATCAACCTCCACATAATGACACTTTTTATAACAGAATTCTCTATAGCAACCAAATTTTCTAGAATGGTTCATTATATTACTATAGGAAAATTGATCACTTTTAGAAAAATTTGACTTGTATAAAAATTACAGTATTACTTATATTAATTAAATATTAGCCGATTAACAATAATCATTCTATTTGATATTATCATTTTAGTTTTTCTTTTCTTGAAATGTGCAGTAATTCTTGATTTTGTATGTATATAAATTATAATGACCTTGTTATATTTAGTTATTAACAGTTACTTTACTTTCTAATCATTCTTTTATTAAAATTTTGCATTAATATTCAAATTCATAAGTTACTATTATTAACTGAATTTTATAATATTACTAATATATCTTTTTATTTTTTTATACAAAATAATATATTTCTATATTTCAAGTTTATAATATGATGAATTTATTAGATTGACTTATCAATCTTATCTAATTTATTTATTGTAAATTCAATTTTGAATTTTTAACTATAATTTAATTATATATTATTCTTGCTAATCAGTTAGTTATAAATTTCTTTACTTTATTTTAATTAATAATATTATTTTGTTAATAAAAAGAATTTTTTAACTGAAATTATTAAACAAAATTTTATTTCTATTAGATTCTGATTTAGAAGTATTGAATAATTAATATTTTTATATTCTTTATTTATTTAAATATGAAAATATAATATTAATATTTTTTTATTACTTAATAATAATATTTATATACTTTTATTATTATTTAATTTAATTTTGTAAATTATTATATATATTTTGAATTTGCAATTTTTTCAAACCTTCAAATTAATAATTTTTAGATCAGTTTATATATTCAAAATTTTTTTGATATTTATTAATATTATTAATATTAATATTAACTTAAATAAAAAAGATCTAAAATATTTGAGATATATAAAATAAACTATTTTAAAAACTTATAAATTTATAAAAATTCAGTTTATTATAAATATATAATATGAATATAAAATTATAAAGTAAAATAATTTTCATATTCTAATAAATCTTGTAAAAATAATATAATTAACTTTAATTATAATATAATAATTAAAATTATTATTAAAATTATTAATAAAATATTTTAGTTTATATTAAATTATATAATTCACTCTAAAACTTCTTTAAAATGGATTATATATTTTAATCTATATTAATTCTTGAATAATTTTAGATAATTTAAATAAAAATTTATTAATAATTTAATTATATAAATATTAAGCAAATATATTTAGACTGATTTAGAAATTAAACTTAATTTTAATATAAACTAGAATACTTTATTAATAATTCAATTATTATATTTAAAAAATATTACTATAATAAATTTATTATATAATATAATTTTAATTTTATTTATATTTTATAATAATAATTATAATAAAATATTAGTTTCTTTGATATTCTTTACAGTTTCAATTATACTTTTCATAGTATTTTTAGTATTTAAGTTAACTTATTTTTGAATTTCAGATTTAAGATCTTTCTTGAAAATTCAAATCTTATATTCTTCTGGATAGACTTGTTCTGAATCTACTTTACTTTTAAGTTTCATAAATTAATTAATATATTTTTTTATAATTTCAATTTGTTTTAATAATTCTAATTTATCTTGCCATTATTATAACTTGCAAGATAAATAAAATTTAAGAATGAAATAATAAGTAAAATTATATTTATTATATTTCTTAATTATCCATTCAGTTAATTTAAAAGTGCTATTAATAACTTATTAATCAAACTAATCAGTAACTAGTTCTTTTAGATATTTTCTTACTATCTCAATTTTTCTTTTATTAGTAATTCTATTAACTTTTGTAATTACTGTTATCATAATAATATAAAATTTCTTAATTTTTTAATCTTTCCCTAGTTATGAAAAATTATATTTTATTATAACTTTTATTTATTTTATAAATATCTCTATTTTCATATTATTTATTATTATTACATTTTTATTTTTAAATACTATATTTTATTTAATATTTGGAATCTATATTTTATTATTATTTGTAATATGATATTTATGTACATAGTAGAATAGTGTAGTGAAAGATTATTTTTTTATTTTAATAGAATAGTTATACTTAGATGATAATCTCAAATATCTTCCCTATCCTTTGATATTCTTTAATATTCTTTCACATTATTTTATGTCTTTCCATATCTTCTTACATCTTTCCATATTTTCTCACATCTTTTTATATCTTCTCATATCTTTCCATATCTTTTAATATTCTTTTATGTATTTTGATATTCTTTAATATTCTTTGACATCTTTTAACATACTTTGATGTAATCCATTTATAATTATTTATATTATAATACTTTAATTATATTCTGTATATTAAATAGTATTAAATAGTAATATTATAATAATTTTTGTATCTGAAAGATATATAAAAGAACTTACTATTCCAGCTTGAAATAAATAGTTTTGAATTGAATTATTTGAAAAATATATTTTAAAAGCTTATTATTATAATAATAGTAATCTTTTTACAAGATTCATTTTCAAATTATACTAGTACCCTTTTTTTTACTCAGTTTTATTTCTTTGACTATATAAAGTTAATTTTGAATTTTTGAATTATAATATTATATTGATTTTTGATTTTTGATATT